CTGTGATACGGAAGGAAACAATTTTTATTTGCGTTGAGGCATAATCCAACGTTGCATCTGAAAAAAAAAGTTTTTGCTAAAACTAAAAAGAAGATGAATCATTACTTTCTTTACCTGGAACAAATCCATTTCGTCCGGTGTGGTGATGATGTAGAGCTGCAATAAGCACATCTTCTTGAACTTCCATGGATTGGCATGTGTGCACAAGAATCATATCGAATTTCCTGAGGCACATTGGCTTTGAAGGTATTTTGTTGCACTGATGATATCCGCCCTTTCTTTGGAATATTTTCGTCTGCTCCAATAAGTCCCAAGCATACTGCTAGCTTGAAATCCTTCAATGTCATACATTTGCCGGACTTAGTCGTAGTATTTCGGTTCTTGAAAATTATGTATGCATTCACTAGGGATATGTCAAGTAAATACCAAAAAATGCGCAACCACCACGTTTTAGATTTTCGATCTAATTCATAAATTGACTTCAACATGTCTAGTTTATCTACATAACCCATGTGCTTATTATACTGCAAAACTAAACGAGGACAAGCAATATCCTGCACAGATCCATCTTTTTGTTTTCTTCCAGTGGTAGCATTTTCATCTGGATTCATATAGTTAGCAAGAAAGTGAACACTCTTGCGATCCATCCATTTCAAATATGCTAAGCCATCTTTACTGACACGCCAGTCTGCTTCTCCACGTTTCAAATCTTTATCGTCGCGTATATCGATAGGTAAATCTTTTCTAAGGCGTCGTATAGTTCCGCAGGCATAAATCATGTCATTTTGTAGTTTTTTCTGGAGCCCTACGGAATTGAAATAATTATCAAAGAACACATGGTGCCCTTTACCAACTAATGATTTTGTCAAATCTATAACTACGCGAGCTCCTAAATCCTTTTCGACAGAATCTCCTGCTTTTCCGGTATAAATTTGAAATTGACAGGCAAATCCAGATTCGTCTGCCCGTACCCAAACTTTATACCCGCGCTTTATGGGCTTGAGCGGCATATATTGTTTCAAACTACTACGACCTTTGAATCGGATCATGGATTCATCCACTGCCTGATTTTTCGAGGGTTTATAAGATGACATAAATGTTTTACTTAGCTTGTTGATGACTGGCCTTAGTTTGTATAACTTATCGTAATCCGCAGCACCACGCCTTGGCATAACAGCATTATCATTTAGATGCAGAAAACTAAGTAGCCAAAGGAATCGATCTCTTGAAAAAACTGAGCATATAAAATCATCTCTAAGTACAGGATTTGATGAGAAAGGATCACGAACACTGGGTAACTTCTTTATTCCCATTAGCATATTGATAGCTAAACATTTTTTTATTTCTTTTTCATTAGTTGCTGTAAAGTTACTGTTCCCTTTTTTTTTTGAAGTGTATATAAATTGGTTTGGAAAACTATGTGACTTATTAGATCTTCTGGAAAGACGGCAAGGAATACTTCTACTGGAGAGTCTAAATCAGAACTGATATTAGGTCCTACATCTTCGCTAAATATTTTCATATTTCTGATACAGTTTTCAGTTGATTTTGTCCAGACCGTTGTTTTTGCCAGCTCATCACGCCTAACTATTGATAAAGGAATATTATCATCACTACCCCATTCATCACTTTTGCTAGCTACTTCCGGATTTTCTTCAAAATCTACTGGTAAATTCACTATGTCGAATATATCATCGTTACTTAGAGGTAAAATATTTTCATCTCCCTCATCATCACTTTCATCGCCTAACTCTGATTCGTTATCTGAAGGAATTTCTTCCAGTATCTTAAAAAGTTCATCTGAACTCATCTTTTCTAAGTCGGCAAAATAATATTTCTTGTTCTGATCTGAAAAAAAAAACACGGCATGCCTACTGGTTTCATAACGTAACCGAAGGTATTTTTGTATAAAAATATGAGCTAAATTTGGTCAAATTCAATCCCCAAATATTTTACAATCATGATCAACATCATATCATATAAATCATCTATTTACTTACCTCCCATTGTTTATCTAACAGCGAAAAATCCCCCCTTTATTTTGATCAACCACCTGTTTGCTGCAACAACGCACACTGAACGTTATCATTACGCTAGGAAACCAAATACAACCGACGCAACTGTCAAAGCCTATCAGATGGAGTCTCAAGGGCACGTGACTGTATGAGGTTACGCACCAAGACCATTCGGCGATTAGAAATTAATTCTTATTCAGGTGGTTTCGTCGTGAAACCAGTAGGCGTCAAAGGGTTAAGCAAATGATCACAAAACTGGTAAAATGAATGACTGAATCGGGCAGACGGAGTAATGAAGTTAATGGGGTTGCTACGGTGTTTGACTGAAATTGTTGTTGAATAACTGAAATGCTTAGTCAAACTTTTGTCCCGTCACAGATAAACAAATTTTATACGCATCTAGCCTAATACCATATATTTGCATATATGGCTAGATGTGAACTGGTTTGAACTGGGATACACTTAAGTGACACCCAAAATTTAAGCTTTTGACTACTAAATCAATGAATAAAGTAAAGTATAATATCAAATCATATATATTAGAATCATAAAAAGTTACTATAATTTTCACTGAAAATGTACCGGTTGTGTTCTATTTAAAAAGGTATAATTTGAATGGATAATGAAATGATGGATTTCAGCGTTTGACGCCGACATATGTATATTTTCTGACAAAAAACGCACAAAAATTCTTCCTTTCAGTTCAAGCCACAATTTGTGGAATTATTTGAACAATGTCATGATTTCGTCATACCCCAAAAGAATATCTCCATCATTTTTATTCTCCTTTATTTATCATCATCTACCTCCCTTTTTTTTGGCATGTTATGATTTCCTAGTTGCTAGACCTGTTGAATTTACAAAATAATACAATGGCAGCGTTTATTAGATCATATTGCTCAAGAGGTGCCATGTTCTGGTGAACGCGACCATGGACGAAAGAGCTAGGGTCCTAGGACCTCTTAAAAAAATGAAAGTTATTTTTTTCAATCGTATACCCTCTAATTTTGCTTGAACAATGTCAAAACAATTGTAAGTAAAGTTTTATGCACCTACCTAGAACCAGGGCAACTCGTGCCGAGTTGCGTTGGAACATGTCAAAACTTGCGTATTATTCTCGCTCTAGGAGCAGTGCTCGTTTGTTCTATTAGTAAACGCACTGTTTTCGTTCAGTCAACATGTCGGAGGAATTACGCAGTTCTAAAAAGGTGATATTTTTTGTAGACAACGTGTTCAAAACTTCCCTTTAATAGGCAAGTACTAGCAGTTTTGTTCTATGATATCCGGGAAGTAAAATTAAGTGTCAATGAGTGCATTATTTACTGGGAAAGGTATGTATACCGACTAAATGTCTACCTAACTGTGTTAAGAAACTAGTTACCTTATACCATGTTTGGAGAGATTTGCAAAAAAATGCAAACAAAACACAAGAAGTGTTTGGGCAAGGTTGACAAGAATTTGTTACGAACTTTGGCAATCCGTTTGATATTGCACATTCCGATGCCCATCAATTGTTGAAAATATATGAAGAGAGGATCTCCTTGCACCGGCAGAGGAAGCCAGGTCGACCTGGTCATTTAGCTGGGGTGGACAAGAAATTAGCCATAGAAGAACAAAAAAGCGCGTCTTAGGAACACCGAAGAACAAAAAAGCGGCCAGCTAAATATGTTGCTTCCTTAACTCTTTCGACATCATCTTGCGAACCAGTGCAAGAAAATTCATCTTCAGATTCCGAGATAGGTATACAAGAAACTGCCCATCCCAACTCAGACAACACAGCCTGATAGTAATCAAACTCAACTGAGGAAAATTTTTCATAACTCCAAAATTAGTGGCAGCATTAGATAGGCATCAGTTAAGTATGAGAAATGAAATGGTGTCTTTATTATTGAAGCAACCATTGAGACACTTGGACATAACACTGACGAGTTTCGTATAAGCAAAGAATTCGTACCGTAAAGCTCTGGAAAAGTGTCGATCCCTAGAAAATACAGATTTATACTGAAAAGCTATCATGCCTGAATATTTCAGAGACTGACAAGCTTCTAGACTTTTATCGACATAAATTGACCAGAGACGACTATCAAGAATTAATAGGACTTTCATTAGTATCCGTTTGCGGAGACAGAGAAAAAAATTAAGATTCGAACGCCAAGGGCCATGGACCAAGCTCGATGGATGGCCAGAGCAATCTATTCATTAAAAATAGCGTTACTAAGTCCCAGCTCAAACTTTCTAATGAGGATAAGGCAGCTCTGTTAGATATCGCCAATTCATCGAGACAACATACGAGAAACCGTGGAATCAGGGCACTTTAGTGGTAAAAGGTACCTAACTAGGATTTATGCTTTTTAAAGGCAATGAAAATTTACGAGGGAATTGACAAAACATTTCAAAAGAAGTTTTATAAAAGTTCTGCCAAGATGTATGGTATTTGACAGATGAGATCTATGCCTTATCTCTGTTTGACGACGACGTAGATGAGGAAACTAAAGTAAAAATTGTTGCTAATTTAGCCAGAGAAAGTCCAGCAGCCCACGGTAAACGCTACATCCCTTCGAAAGAAAAACTTTCTGGCCCAGTTTATCAAGTCTGACGAATAAATTTTCCTTGTTCAGTGGACTCAAAATTGATGATAATTTTCTCGACGAGTGTCCAACTTCCACATAATGATTCTTTTCGACACGCTAAGAATAAGGTGTAAACACTGACAGCAGTCAACGGTACGGCACAAAGAGTAGTCAAGTTAATGCATGACTTCCATGGCTTAATCTCTGCCGATGAGGAACAAAAACAATTTTTATTATTATGCGTACAAGAACACAGCCAGGTATATCCTGACTGTAAAAAGAAAACTTTGAAAAGAAAATTTAGTAAATAATGTTATTTTAATGATAACTATCTAAGAAATATACGATTCAAATAAAGCAGTGTTTTATTTATCAAATAAGAATTAGGTTTTGAAATCCATACTTAGTTTCCCTAGCAACTTTAAAATTCAAAGTTTGAACGAAAGTTCCCCGTTCCCCGATCGCAATAATATTTATTATTTATTAGTTGTTAAAGTCATATGGAAAAACATTATAGGGTGTGCTTTTTTAAAGTGTTACTAGGGCGGAGATCAAATATCTCCTCAGCCATGCACTGTATTTACCACATACCAGACACTTAACAGCAACAACTGTTACTGGTGAAAATAGAATATAAGAAGAACATATTTCTGATGAGAACCCATGTAAATGTAATAGGGAATAATACTCAGGAATAAAATGGTTAATTTCATTCAAATCATGAAAATGCATGTCAATACAATGCCTGGAGCATATAAATGTTTCAAACATTTTTATAAATTGTGATGAAATGCAATTACCACCTTGAATGGAGACGGAAGCAACACACCGGGACTCGTTGGCCAATTTTTAGTTTACACTTCCTATGATGCTCGAGTTGTGTAATATACTATATGATAGTATAAAGGCTACTAATATACCTAGATTCAAGATTTAAGTAATTGTGATTAGAATCTACAAATCTTAGGAATTTGGTTAATCTCATGCACCAAGTTCTACGACACATTCAGAAAACCAACAAATGGATAGAATTTTATTATATGATGATCGAATCTCATTCCAAACTAAATTTTTTCAACACTTAAAACCTACATAGATCACCTCCGGTAGTTGCGTGCATTTCCTCCCACAGGCCGATTATCCCTATTAGCAGAATTCGTCTTGTCCACCCTTTTCCCTTTACCGCTCTGCTTTCCTCCCCGCTTGAATCCCCTTTCTCCACCACCACCCTTAGCACCCTTCCTGAAAGTCTCCCTTTTTTTCGACTTAAAACCATCAGACTTTTTGTGGCCATCTCTTGTGTCTCTCTGATTCTGATTTCTGTCCCTTTGTTGCCCGTCCTCTGTCTTTCGTTTTTTATTTCCATATGGGGGAGGACGGAATTTACGTTTATAGCCACCAGGCCTTGACGAAAATAGATCTAAAAATGTTATCAAAAGATGATACTAAAGTTCAATACCCAAAGTAATCATTTTACCTTTGTCCGGTTCTTCGCCCACTTCTTCTCTATAATACTCCCTATCGTCATCTTCTACTTCTGCATTTTCTTCTTGGTTCTTATCTATTTTCATTTCTTCTTTTTGTTCACTTGTATCCACTCTTAATTCAGATTTCTCTTTTTGACCCTTCATTGACTTTTCTTTCAACTGTGCTTTTAATTCTTCTTTCTTTTTCTTGTTCTCTTCTTGAATCCTCTTTCTCTTTTCTTTAAGTTTCCTGAAAAAGAACCATTTATTCTTTTTTTTCTATAACATAGCATCATACATACTTTTTCATTTCACGTTTTCTCTGTATTTCCTCGCGTTCTTCCTCGCTCTTATGAATAAGATCATGATAGAGCACCTCTCCATCGAGGAGTCCATCTTCAATTTTGATTAGACTCAAAGTCAGACGAGGGCCCAGCTCACTTAGCCTAATGGCCGATTTTTCTTGCTCCAAAGTTCCTCTGGTCTTTAGTTTTTGTGGTACAGTTACCTGATGTTGAGGATCATCTTCAGCCTCACTTTCTGATAACATACCAGCCCTTGACATAAAAATAAACTGACAATGTAGACTTATTGTGTACATTTTATGTTATGTAGATGACCAATGCTATGTAAATAACACTATAGAAGAAGAATATGCAAGTACTTATAAATATATAATGTAAAATAAATATTAATACAATATCAGTAGCAGAGACATTTAACCATGGCAAATGATATGCACGTACTTACAACAAGTTTAACCTTTATTATTGTGCAAATCAAAAATAGACATTTTTTCACCTGTATGTTGCAAAAACCTATTTGAAATTGAAAGACGAATCATATAAATCCTTTAAATCTCTCACCAGAAGAATAAGTCAATAATGATTTACTAGCATAATATGTTGATGTCAGAGATAAAAGTTATTTCCCCAATAGAAGGCTAGTCTCCATGGAGAAGTAGGGTCAGATTCTAAGGGCAGAACATGAATAATTATTAAGACATGCTAGGGTTTATTAAATAGAACTTTGGCACGAAATTTCACATTTGAACAGGTTTTGCCACTTTCTCATTCAAATAAATAAGTGAAATACACTCAGAATATATTTTTTGAAGTATAATAACATTTTGGAAAAACATCCGATTCAGGTAGAAAAAAGATTTAACTTGAAAATAAGTCTTAAGTTAGATAACACTGAATAAAATTAAACAGTAATAATGAAATATTATCATATACCTTATATTACAGATTACTAGCTTTTGAAATAGGCACAATAAGAATAGACACTTGTCAGGGTTGAAAAAAACATGTTTTGTTTTTAAAAACATAAATCATGTTTTTTTTTGTTTACAACATTCAAATTTAGCTCAAACATGTTTAAAACACTGTTAATACATGTTTAAAACAGTAAAAAAACTATATGAAGTTCCTTGAAAGTGTTATTACTATTTTTCATCCAGCTCTATCACAGCATATCTCTAATTTAAAAGCGGACATCGGGAAACTACCGTGCGGGCGTCGGGGAAGTACCATTTGCCTTTGAGTAATTTTTCGCGTTGCGATCTCCAGCAGTCAAATGTGCGAAGTCGTAGCGTGGTGATGTGTCTTGTTTTTTGTGCATTAAAGATCGGCTAAAAAAGGCAATGACATGGAGGAGAAAGGATCCCGTGTGGAAATATTCTAAGGAGACTGATGGCAAAGCTGGCTCGAAAATAAATAAAAGAGCAAAAGGTTTAACCTGCAATATGCATATAGTGCCACTGGTGGCGAGAATGTGCAAGCATATTAATAATTGTAAACTTGAACAAGGAAGTTTGTTAGAATAACAAAATATTCATATATCAGATAGTTCTGACACCGACAATGATGATGTTTCTACCGCACCTATTTCCTCAAAGTTAAGTTGCTTGGAGAACTGTGAAAAGGGTACCATTTTTTACGAGTTCCGTAAAAAATAGTTAAAACTAAACATTTATGCTATGTACATTTTCCATGATTTTATATTTTAAAAATATGGATTTAAGGATTTTTTGATTTTTTCTTAAATATGATGGGTTGTATACTTTTATAGAAATTTGTTAAGTAACTTATTTAATGTTATTATACAAGTAAATACATAGTCATATTATATGGTTCTTCTGCTGCTTGTAGTGTAGTAGTTTTAGAGTGCAATGCAGTTTATTAAGTTCACATGTTCCTTAAGAAATATATATTTTTTTCCACTAGTATTAGTTCCCTAGTTTCATGTTTGACTAATTAATAAAAAATAGAGTTTATTTTTTAGTACCTATGGGTTTTAACCTATGGCGATTTTAATTTCGTTTTGCAAAATAAAATCAATTTTAATCATACTTAAAAAATATAAAAAAAGCTTGAATACTTCACAAACGACAAAAAACAGTGTTTGAAACAAATTGGTTTAAAACACCTTCATTGTTTTAAATAGTGTTTAAAACACTTGTTTTATACATTTTGATTAACCACCCTGATACTTGTATAAAATAAGTGATGAGTGCTCAGCTTATTTTAGCATATATTTTTAGGTCATGGATTTTCAATAATCATCTGCCAACTTACTTTGTAAAAAACTCGGCAATATCATTGCATCTGCTAAGATCCGGAACTTTTCCTTGCACTACTTTCTTGACACCTTTTGAGATACCTACTGGCACTACTCTAATACTGTAGTGCCTGAAATCTATCATTTTTGTGGTTGAATTATAGTTTAGTAAGACACATCTACGAACAGTATTCAAATCAACAGTCAGCAAGTTGATTGTAGGAAACATATTCTGGAATATAATAAAACTTTAACGAATATGTAAGCAGTAAATAAATAAGCTAGAAGAGCAAATCAAAAATAAAGATATAGTCAGGGACAGAAATGAGTCGATTTATTAACATTACTTCACTATATCACTGGTCCTGGCGACTTTAAGTGTTCATATACAAGTGCAAAGTCGGTTATGATCACTGTACAAGAGTGAGTGTATTAATATCAAATATCTCAAGAGTTGTTGAAATGCAGATACTGCAGGGCAGGGGGATTTTCTTGCATGTGGAATTGTGATTTTATTACTGTGATTCTGTCATCATTTGTCACTGTGCTATCACCTGTGTTAAGTTACTTGATTTTAAAATGAATGTAGACAAAATGTGATCTATAATGAACAAAAAAGTATTTTTAAGCAACTTATACTCATATTTTGTCTTCTGCCATTTTGTCAAACAGTTTGAACATATCGAATGTGTTTTACTTTGTTACACAGTTTATGAGTGTGTCATTTTATCTATTTGGTATGTGATATTGACTATATGACATTTAGGAACACCCCTCCCCTGGACAATGTCTAAATGTCTATGTGGACTACTAGCAAGAGAAGTATAGCTTGAGATTGTAACATGAAATTCTTGTGTGACCAAATCAAAACCACATATGTTTATTGAACAATGTTTTGGCTCAACAACTTTTCGAGTTCAATTGAACTGATTTGGCCAGACAAGCATGGGAGATTATAAATATGGATATAATTGATACAGTCAAATGAACATTATTATGCAACAAGGAACCAACTTACAAAACAGTGAAAAATTGAGATCAACACACATCTGTTATATTATTATTAACAAGAAATGTTTTGATTTTATACTCATATAACATAGTGCATTATGTAAATACATTGATGTAGTATCAATAACACCATTTTCTCAAAACTTTCCTGCTGTTGGTTAGTTCCTAGTTGTGTAAGTCTGAATGTTTATACATGGATTCAGTTCTGGACCTAATAGTATGTGTACCTGAAACATAGAAGCCATCATTTTGAGATGCAATCCTTCTCCACTAAAGCTATTAAGTACTATCAGAGGGGCATGTTTGAATGCTTCCTCAACTACAGACTGCTTTTTCAAAGAAGACACAACATCTCTGGCAAGTGAGAAATTGTGGATCTTAAAGGTCAATGTAGGACCTCTAGGCAATCTGGCTATCTTTAAATACATTCCTAAGCTGGTTTTGGAGAATATGCATATATGGGAGACATGGAGGGGGCCAGCTACAGACAAAAAGTCTTTTATAGTGTTCTTTTTGCGCTCCTGAAAATAAGATAGAGAAATAACTTTTCAGAATTGGAGGCACATTGGCCTGGGTAAAGATAATATGGCCATGCAAGACGACTGTTGAAATATACTCTTCTAGGCTCTATACGACTATCCGCAGCGAAAAGTTTGCTTTTATCGTTGCACAACACTTGCAAATGCAATACTCTTTAAACAACAAATAGGCTTACCTTTAGCGATGTGGCCGTATATGGTTCCATAACTCTCCTGAAATCCTTAGTTAACTCCAAGATATGCGCACCGGGAAGCCCTCGGTGGATTACAAATGAATGTGGAGCTTGTACTAGTTCATCAGGCTCTGTGGCTTTATTCTTATTTCGTTTCGCACAACGACCCCGTTTTGGCTTACCCATTTTTATACTTTATTTCTAGAAATCTGAAAGAGAATCCACAAAAATCACACTTTCGAAGAAAATAATAGTATGACAACACCAACACACGTTAAACATTGAGGTTAGGGCCGGACTCGACAACAGTTGACATTTCGATTTCGTCCGCCACAACTTAAATGCTAGCCACAGACGTCATCCTTTTGGGACAGGCTTATGCAGGTTCCACACGATGCTTCCAATGTTGTATACAGCATTGTTCACAACGTTCGACACCCCACAATACTGTCTCTTACACGATGGGATGAACTTTTTAATCTCGGACGTTCGACGCATGGTGGTACCAACATCTATTATCGGTGACAGTGTTGCGCTTGAACCTTTACAACTGAAGGAAAAATTATACAAAATGAACGATGAAACAATTTATTCGAACGCCAAAAAATAATTTTAGATCTGTCCTCAGCGACCACAACTTAATCGAAGTTTGACATTTTTTGTTTGTTTTTCGACGATAACGCCGCCGCCACCGTATGGATTTTCAAAAATTGAGAGCTTTTCGTCATTTTCATAGTAGTAACCTAGGGTCAGAATTTCATCAAAATCCTAATAGTACTTCCAGAGATATCATTTATGCAATATTTTTCGTTAGTTGTGAAATGCAAGTCAAAATATTTCTCAACTAGTCTTGCATTGCAACAGGACATTATATTGATACAACTGTAAGCACTTGATAATTTATAATTTACTAAAATATATATCCTTTGGCCATAACTCACCTGCGAAACGTACAAAATATCAGCAATAGGGAAAAAGTGTTGTTATGGCAGCCTATGCTTTGTATGTATTTTAATTTAACTCATTCTCCCCAAAAGTTAGTTACAGAACATACATTATTATGAATAGGTGGGTATTTAAATCCAAATACTTCCCACATACCACTACTTCACCACAATCACAGCAAACAATAACATTTTTCGCCGCTACTGGTTCTAACCTAAAACGATCAAACAAATGACACCTCATGTGGGAGCGTAACGAACCATGCTTCCAACGTTGTAACGTCCTTTGACGCGGGTCAAATTTACCGACATGAGCCCGAACGTGCCATGTGGCAAATGTTGGACACATGCAATCCGTCAGCGCTCTCAGTCTATAGCGCTCTCACATACGATGTGGCGAATGGCCATGTGTCCAGCGTTGTAAGGCATTCGCCATATCGTGTGGGACCGGTTTTATCCGACCTCCTAACCATAGCTGCTATTCTGTAGATCTCAATCTCCGCATGAAGGTCCCTTAGTTCAGCTGAATTGAACACGTGCTTTCAAATTGTTGTGCTACGTGACCAACAAACTCTCTTTGTTGATTGATTAGTTTAGAGATGATAGATATATCGGTACCGGCGACCTTTCCCGGTGACCTGAATGGTCGCCGTTAGTCCCGGCGACCTGATTCTCCATGAAGCAACGACCCAGATCGCTGTTTGGAAGTATCGGTATCGGTAACCACTGATCGGTAGCTGTAACGCTGTTTCGGTCGCGGTCGCTGCCAGGAAGCATATACACATCGCGTTCGCGATCATCGCGCGGGAAGTACAGGGTCGCTACTGCGTAGCCTAACCTATTTTGTTAGTTTTTATTGTTATTGTTTCATAGAAAAATGTTTCGTTTATTAAACAATGTTTAACATTTTTATACTACATTTGTTATGTTTTAAAAGTTTTATTTTAACTGGTAAAATAGTATTTTGTTTTACTTTTTAAGATTCATAGAAAGATATTTTATGTATTTTTTATGATTTTATGTGTTTTGTGCTCAATATTGTTAAAAACAAAAACCTCAAATATAGTTTAATTCAAATCTTCAGGAACCTGAACATCTACACCTCGTTAATATCAATGGATAACCGCCGCCAAATATCGAGTAATTTAATCAGCGCCAGGGAGTCGCTGGCTGCTGGCAGCGACCATAGATAAGCAGTGACCTAAAGCGCTGCTAAATCTACCGGCGACTTTAAGGTCGCTGTCACCGGCAAGTTGCTGCTAAGATCATCTCTAGATTAGTTCAACTAAAAATCACAGACATTGGATTTATAGACTTGCAAGTAGAATTGGCACGTCGTGCAAAATTGTCGGAGAAGTACGTCTGTTGCCCGCTTAAACAGTTTTTGAATCACTTTATAGATTCAGTTCAGTGTTGTGCTTTTTGGATCAAATTGATTATACCTTAAAACAAAATGTATACCAGCATTTTTAATGAATGAAAATGAGTCAGACTCCTAGAAGAACTCCAAATTCTAACAGTCCAGGCTTTGCACCAGTCAAATGTAAGCTCAATATTAAAATCTGTTCATCAACCTACCTGACTTTCTTGTTTTATAGTACATCAGAGTCCCATTGCAAGCCCTAATAGTCAGAAGAACCTAACAGGTGTGCCTAGAGTGGTAAGGGACCTAGCAGCAGATCTATACAATAATGTGCAAAAATGGAACAATTTGCACATAAGAGGCGCACAACTATGCAAGCAGATCGCTATCTGTAAGACAGACAAGCCTTTTGAATACTCTCCTGAATTAGAAACTTTAACAAATGATTTATATGAATGTGTGGATGAGCTTAAGCCTATCAAAGAAGCGTTTGAGATGATTATAAAACAGGCAGAAGCAATGAAAAAGTTGCAGAAAACTCCAGAACCTGTATTTTTTGGGCATAAAATGGAGGGATTGGTAGAAATGGTACATTATGTAGCAAATGCCTATGTCACAGAGTACAGTGTAAGTTTTCCATTTCACTTTCAATAATCATAGTTTCTCATCACTGTTTTACTGTTTCAGGTGAAACAAACTGTATTAGAAAATATAGCTCATACACAGAGCAAAGATGAAGTGATGTTTTTTGCTACCTTTTGGACATTACAAACAAATGTGGATGATAAAGTTACTTTGAAGTTGGAATCCTTACTAACTGAAACATGCCACAGAACAATTGACCAAACATGAAATTCATGATGGAAACAAATCCTGAATGATTCAGATCCTATTATTTTCATAGTGAACTAAGATGTATCATAGATCAAAGGCAAGAAACTGACTTTGGTGTCAGATTTTATAAATATGAAGTATATATAATGGATGTTAGCATTTGTCTTTTATTTGTACTGTTCGATAATAGTTGAATCAGTGAAATTCTTTAGGGTGGTATTGTCAGTCATTCCTACAATTGTAGGACGCCTTTATGGCCTCCTTGATTTTCATAGTCTCTTCTCTCCTTCAGAAAGGCTGGGGTATTTCTAGATTTCTACTGTTCCGTGTCAGCGCTTTCGTATTGTGAGGTTATGTTTTCTTTTCGAATTGTAGGAAATTTCAGGCTTATAAAACGGATCTAAATCAAAAGCATTAACAAGTTGATGCTGATATTTGTGACATAACCTCAAAATAGAGCACTGACACGGAAAAGTAGAAAACCATGAAAGTCAAGGAGGCTATACAGCACTTAGAATTGGGCATTAGAATAAATTTCTGAGTTAAATGGCCATAAACATATTTTATTAACAATTATGTTACTTCAACAATCACTGGTGCTTCATCCTCATCCTCAGATTCCAAATGACCAAAATCCCACTCATACAAATCTGTCAAGCTTTTTTTCAATCTCTCTGCCTTAGTTTTGATTTCTCCATCAATGTCCAATCCTTGGATGGTCCGGAACAACTGCCTTAGTTTTACATAGACAAAATTATTGTTAGTTACAATGTCTGCTAGAAACTCTTCAGGGACTTCCTGTAGCTTCAACCAAAAAAAACAATAATCAGTGATTTATTTCAAGTGGTATAAGAATATTCTTATACCTGTGCCTCTATGACGATCAAAAATCTATTGAATAGCCTTCGATGTTTTTTCACAGCTGCTTCACAAGAACAAAAAAGGCTAAAGATTTTCTTCCATTGATCAAACGCTTCCAAGCTGTGACCTACCAGGAAACAAATGTAACAGAACTGAAGCTCCCCTATAATATTATCTGGTCTAAAATAAACAGATTGTATAAGTGTGCTTAAATTTCCTTTTGATGTGTAAAAATCTTACTTTTGATATGAGCTGGCAATCAGGTCAAAAACATAGGATGAATCAAGGGAATGCTTTGTTATATCAGCTGGAGTTGAACCTTCTGGATATGTCTTCTCAGGAAACTTCGTTAACCTGATTTCAGTACCAGCTTTTGCTTTTAAATGGGGCAATAATGCATCTATGTTGTCAGATTTCCTAGATCTCTTTGCTTCAGTTGGAGATAGATTATCCTCATCATTCTCATCAGCTTTCTTTCCTTTAGGCCTATCAGAATTACTGCACGATTCCAACTCCAATGCTGATTGTATAAATCCAGATAGAGGCACAAGACTTTTTACCAGATCATCTGTTGAGATATTATCAGTTAATCAAGATTTCTGTCTAAACTGAGCACTTTCAGCTGATGAACATACAGTAATGGACAAGAGTATATAGACAAATATGAATATTTACCTAAATACCTTTAGAAAACGAATTCATCCTTCATTGCTCCATAAACAAATGCGTTATTAGTAGAAAAACTAAATTCGTTGTTTTTACATTATCTGCAATGAACACAATACAAATCTGAATATCCTCCTGGGACCCAGCGTCCATTTAAATGGACATGCAGTTTTATACTTCCAGTTTCGTTAATTTAATATTTACGCAGCGTAGACCTCGCATCCACTACGTTGGCACTTCCGTGCTGCCGCCTAGTCCGATTCGGCCGACTTTAGTCTCGCACCTGCGCCGTGAATCAGTAAGTTTGTTTTCTGTTGTGATGGCGGCTGCACGTGATTCTCGTTTAGATGGTATGTAACCTATTTTTTAACATTATGTGCTGATTTAGGAGAAAATATATATTCGTTAATGTTTAATAGATACATTTAAACAGCTTTATAATAACAAAAATTTTAAATAACTTTTGTACTAGCCTAAATTATTTGCGTCCATTTAAATGGACATTGGGTCTATCTCATGAATATTTTTGATTTATTCGGAAAATTTATTTTAGCAATTTTTGGCAATAAACGAGTGCTTCGGCCAGGGGAAGATGACGAAAAATTGGAGCAAATACTACAACTCATTGCAAACGATGATTCTGACGTTGAAATGTCTGATAATGAAATTGAAAATATGGATAATTTAGTACAGAGAGAGGACGAAATAAATGATGAAGACCTGGTGAGCAGCAGTGACGAGGAAGGAGAGGACAGAATTCCTCTTAGTGTCCTTAGAGAAAAGTTAAGAACGGCCAAACAAACTCCCAATTCTTCGCAGCGACAGCTTTGGAGAAGGAATGATACTTTTACACCTCCAAATTTTGAAGGTCCGCCTAGTGAATGCAGCGCACAGCTTCGCGATGGTTGGACTGCAAAATCGTATTTTGCCATGTACTTAGAAGATGACATGTTCCAAAAAGTATGTGATTGCACAAATGCAAGGTATGTTGATCTTAAAGGAGTATCCCTTAGATTGACACTTAATGAGATTAAACATTTCTTTGGGATAATTTGTTTAATGTCCTGCCTAAAATATCCTAGAATCAGAATGTACTGGGCCAAACCCACGAGGGTTGCAGCTATTGCGGATGTTATGACTCGAGATAGGTTTTTTCTATAAGAAGTAACCTCAAAGTCGTAATTGATGGCAGCATCTCTGAGGAGAAACGCAGGTATGACAAATTTTGGAAAGTGCGTCCTATTTTAGAAGCAGTATTGCAGGGGTGCTTGCAGCTACCCAGAGAGAAAGTAGTTGCTGTGGATGAGCAGATGATACCATTCACTGGAACTTGTCAAATGAAGCAGTTTGTTAGGGGAAAACCCAATCCAGAGGGATTGAAAAATTTTGTTGTTGCTGCTCCTGATGGTCTTGTCGTAGACTTTGAACTATATCAAGGAAAAAATACGTTTCCAGATGATTCTGTAAAACGACTTGGTGTTGGACCTTCTGCTGTTGTTCGGCTTGGAAGAACATTATTTCCTGGAACTCATGTGTATTGCGATAGATATTTTACGACAATACCACTTCTTGAATATCTTCGCCATCAAAAGAAATATTGTACTGGAACGATTATGAAATCTCGTGTACCAGCGGCAGCACATTTAACTTCAGACAAAATGATGGCCAAGATAGGTAGAGGTAGCTTGGAACAAATTGTAAGGCAAGATGGCGAAATAGTGGTTGTACAGTGGTATGACCTGAAATCTGTACTTTTGGCATCTACTCGTCTAGGAATTCAACCTAGTGATGAGTGTAAACGGTGGTCTAAGAAAGACTCTAAATACATACAAGTTGCAAGACCTTACATTGTTGCTAAATACAACGATTGTATGGGAGGAATTGACCTGATAGACCGAATGATCAGCTATTACAGAATTCAAGCCAGATCAAAAAAATGGACTGTGAGAGTCATTTTCCATTTCTTTGATTTAGCATTGGCAAACTCATGGATTTTTTATCGTAGAGATAAAAAGATATTTCAAACCTCTACACGAAAATACAGCAGTATCTAGATTTTAAAATCGAAATTGCCACGCCACCTTTTGGAAAATGAATCCAACATTTTCCAAGAAAATATACGAGGTATAGGAACTCGAAGAAATCCTGAGGGTAATATCATTGTTGATTCACCATCAGCAGGCACCGAAAGAAAGCGGAAAGAACATTACCCAGAAATTGCCTCAGATTTAAGAAATTCGGTTCGATGTAAAAATGACAGTTGTACTAAAAAAACGAAGTTTTTTTGTAATAGATGTAACACATTCTTATGCATAACTGGCTACAGAAACTGCTTTATAGAGTTCCATAACAGATAAATTTAAGTTTACGTTTATTTTCTATGTTCTTATAAGTTTAAGTTTTAATTTTAAATGTATTTTTAACCATCTAAATAACTTATACATTAGGCATTTTTGTATAGGTTAAGACCCAATGTCCATTTTAATGGACGTCATGTATCTTTCAAAATAAGAAAAAAAATAAAAAATGTCCTCAGTAAAGAATGTTTGTTAATGTATTTTCTGTTATATTTAAAAACGTCACAACTCTACTTATGAAAAACATGTCTGGGTCTCAGGAGGTTATAAGCACTTTTTTATGAGGGACAAAAATATGTAGACAAATTCTTTTCAACATTAGTTTAGTACAATTTTGTGTCAGAAGAGGATTAGTTTGTGTTAATCAAGTATTATATGGAATAAGTTGGGTGATTTTAAGACTATGCCGCGTGCTCCAGAAATTTCTTTCGATGTGAAAACTAAGATCATTGAGTTATACAAATATGGTCAATGTCAAGTCGACATTGCCAAAAATTTGAAGCTGAAGCGTAAAGCAGTTTGGGCAATATTGAACATATATAAACAAAAAGGTATCTTGGAAGCCTCTAAGAGAAGTGGTGGGCATAGAAAACTAAATGCTCAGTTAGATTAATGAAAGTAATTTCGTCCAAAGATCCGTTTAAAACCCCAAGACAAATAAAAGCCGAAATCGAGACAAAAGGAATTGCCAGTGTTTCTACGAAAACTATAAGTAGAAGATTAAATGATTTGAAGTTATTTGCACGTCGCCCGAGTAAGAAGCCGTTAATCTTGAGGAACAACCGTAAGGACCAATTAAAATTTGCACGGTTGCATCTTGATTGGAGCATCTGTGACTGGAAGAAGGTACGTTTCAGTGATGAATCCAAGTTCAATATGTTTGGATCAGATGGTGTTCATTGCGTTAGACGTCCTAGTGAACAAAGATTGAACCCCAAGTACACCTTGCCCACTGTCAAACATGGAGGCGGGTCTGTTTTGGTTTGGTGGTGCTTTTCGGGGTTTGGGATAGGACCTTTACATAGAATAGATGGCATTATGGATAAGTTTGTATACACAGACATACTAAAGCATGTCATGTTACCCTATATGGAAGACAATATGCCCTTAAGATCAATCTTCCAGCAAGATAATGACCCGAACCACACTTCAAATCTCGCAAATAAATTCTTTCTGGATGAAAAAATACCAGTTCTCAAATAGCCTTCACAGTCTCCTGATATAAACCCTATTGAAAATCTATGGGAATACTTAGATAAGCAAATACAAGATAAAAATTATTCAAACAAGGATCAACTTTTTGCCACTTTAGAGCAAAAGTGGAGACAGATTGATGAATCTTATATCAAGAAACTTGCACAATCTATGCCGAGATGATGCCAGGCAGTGATTGATAATAATGGTTATGCTACAAAATATTAACACAAACATGGTTGGCTTTCTATAATTCAATGAACTTTGCTTCTTTTTTCTATAATTGTTTTGCTTTGTCTATATATTTTTGTCCTTCATAGTTCCAGTTTTCTTCAATTAATTTTTTATTGAAGGGAGTCTAATGAATTTATTTATGTATAAGCGAGTATTATGCTATAACGAATTATGTATACAGGTTGGTGTATTAATAAAACAAGTTAAAAAAGAAATACAGCACAATATTTATTTGTCTATATACTTTTGTCCATTACTGTATATACTTACCAGTGAGGTCCGATGTTAAACTTTTCCATCTATCTTTAATATCATAAGGATAAGGCCCTAAGAAATTATCTAGAGCTCTCAAATTTCCTGTTAGTCTCACAATGTCCTCATCACTGACAGTTTCAGCACTAACGCACTCATTCACCTGATCCCACTTTTTTACCAATACTTCAGCTTTTCTATAAAGACAAGTGTGGTATACTTTATAGTTAATAAATGAGCAAAATTCATGTTCAACACATAACCATACCAATACAAAGCATAACGATTTCTACCATAGCCAGTCAAACCACAGGACTTTATCCTTCCTGATTGAATGTATGAAATATGATGTTACGCAGGAAATAAACAAATTAACCTTATATGATTAATAGAAAAGAGATCATGAAGTCAAATGTACTGAAGTGACATACCGACTTTCAATGCAGAAATTCATAAACGGTCTTTTGTTTATTAGTGTTCAGTCAGTCCTAAAATGAAAGGATGCATACCTAAAATTGTGAAAAAATCCTGTTCTAGGGGCAGTATCACCTGTGTTTGATACAGCACTGTAAAAAATATAGTGTAGACCAGGTGGGATCATTTTTACTCCCCTGAATTTCTCTCCAGTGTTCCAAGATTTCATATCAATTCCAAATTCTGTACCTTCTGGTACATTCAGAAACACAAATATTGCTCCCTCTTCGTATAACTTACGCGCTGTTTCTTGATCCATTTCGTATTGACTGTCTGCAATGTCTCATGAATGTTAAAATACCACAACTCTACAAAAGTCGGAAGGTTGTTAGCAGAGATAAGTTGTTAGAATAGTAGCATTTTTCTTTTCGCCGCTTTCTTACAAGGGCGCAAGTATTGGTATAAACTAAACAAAACGCAGATGCCAGATGATTTAGACGTTGACGCCACAAATGCCATAAAATGAATCAATAAATTGATTTTGTTTTAACATGGGATCAGAGTGATGAGTAAAGCATTGACATTCTCATCACTTGATAAAAAAAATAACGTCAAAGTGACAACTAACCTCTCCATTTCAGTGACACAAAAACAACTTTTTTTTTATTCTTGTATTGCTTACATATTTTCTGGAAAACGGGCACCTCTTCGTTCAGGATACTTTGAGGTTTTTTCTAAAACTATTCATACATTAATGGATAAAAGTTGCCAATGATAGAAGAAAAATCGCATCTTCCGAATAGGTCTAATATGAGCAAGTCTTGGACTAAATACTTACTTTGGTTTGCACAGGAACATGTGGATTTTCGATTTGCTGTAAGCTCATTTTTGAAGGAACTTTTTACTGGAGGATACTTTATATCATTCTTTTGTTGTAGGAAATCAATTCATTAATGTCCTTGTTTAATATAGAGATGAGATTTGTGAGAAAACCTAAAGATGTAAGTAATAATGAACAAAAGAGGAAGAGTTAAATATAAATAAATATATATATATATATATATATATATATATATATCCTTTGCTACCATTTCTAGAGCTATTTGCTACCTTTTATCTATTCTATAGCCAAATATATGTAATTGAAATAAAATATGTTTTTTTACTTTTAAGGAGCCCTACTGGATTGTAGAATTCCCTTCAGAAGTTGAAGTGAAGTTGTTGGCAAGCAGATCAGTATCACTAAGAAACTGTATTGAGCTTTGGGCCCATGCTCCTAATGTTCAAAAATTACATGAGGAGCTCAAACTGTATCCCAAAAGTCTAATGCAACCATATATTCAAGCTGATAAGAGCTTCAAAATTGAAGTAGATACATTTTGCAAGCACTTCTCACAGAAAGAAAAGGTTGATAAGCTAGAGGTAAATAAAAGTATCTACCTATCCAGGAGAATCTTGTTAAACTTTTTGTATGGAAACAAACTACAGAGATATAAGAAAATACCACACAGTATCCCAGTAGATACTTTCACAGATAAAGAATATTTTTTTACATTTTTGGAGTTTTTAATTTAGCTTTAATAATTTTAGTATATTTATTGTTCATAATATCATTTTTGATATCAGTAACAAGACTTCAACATTGGGTTAGCTTTGTGAATAGCAAAGTATTTTTCATTTCCACTATACATATACAAACTTAAAAAATAATTATGTTTAAGGCTTTCAGTTATTTACCAGTAGACGGACCTGTGGATTTGAAAACTCCTGATGTTACATTCCAGTATATAGAGTATTATGGCATCATACCTCATTGTCCTCCTGAGCAACCATATGAAGTCTTTTTTGGAAGATGGGTGAGAAAAATTTTAAGATGATGACAATAATGTAATATTTGTTCAAGATAATTCAATAATATTTGTTTAGTGATTCATTAATGGCAATCAGTATAAGCAATATATGCAGGTTACAAGATGATACAAATCAGATTACTTTGAAGACCTGGATGTTGAGCATTTGTCCCAACAATGTTCAACATCTGGGTGATTTCCACTAAATGAGGTCAAAACCCTTTGTTGAACTAGATGAATGTGTCATGTGGCAGCATACATGACACAAATCAGAGCATAAATATCTTCTTACCTAAGCTTAGCTAGTAAGATTGTTCATTATTTATTGTGAAAATTCATAAACCTAATCAAAGAGTGAATTAGCCTCAAGCTAAATATATCCTTTCTGTCAGGTAGCTAGTGGTCTGAGACAACTGATAAAGAAACTATCTTTGAAGACTCGGAAATTTATTGGTAACACCAGCATGGATCCTCAGTTGTCTTTGCTAATGGCAAATCAGGCAAAAGTAACAGATGGCAGTTTAGTATTAGATCCTTTTGTTGGCTCAGGCTCACTCCTGGTTGCTGCCACTCAGTTTGGTGGATATGTGTGGGGTACTGACATTGACTATCTTATGCTACATGGCAGAACCAGGCCATCCAGGATACATCAGAAGGTGTGTAACTTGTCATTTTTTATAAAATAAATCAAAGAAAGTGTGTAAATCCAATTTATAAAGAACTCATTACCTGTGGGACAAAACTTAGGACCTTCTGCATTTGAGGTGAGATTACAATGAAAAAGTATGCACAAATGTTAACCATAAGTTGAAAATAGGACTTTTTACAGTAATTTTTTTTACTCGACGCAATTTTTTTTAGCAATATATACCATATTTGTCCATTACTATAAGCATGATGCAGCATAACGCGAAAGACAGAACCGTCAAACAACACTCGATAATCTGCATTTTCAGCGCTGCCGCTCAAAGCTTAAAGAATCGGTAGAAGTATTGTGACCTATATTCCTATTGTTTTCCTCAGTTTTCATTCTAGTGATATTGGTTTCAAAAATATTTCCAAATTTAAACGGTCATATAGTAAGTGACGTATAAAATGCAACACTCAGCATTATTTATTGAATTTTGGATAAAAACTTGCTATCATAGAAGTATACGCTGATAAAATGTTGAAGGCATCCCGAGCCGTACTTTTTTTTGTAATGACTTTTTTTGACATATCAGGATCCGAATAATGGGAACATGTTTACTTAATCTTCAGTGATTTTTTTGGGTTGGTTCCATTTGTTTTATTGTTGTTTCATTGCATTATGATGCCTAGAGTTTGCATACGCGCCAGTCTCATTCAACTTTCCGAGTCAATAACAATGAGGATAGTTTATAGACGAATAAGTTCTTTTGGACTGTTTACCTCTGACCCCACAGCATCGTCGGCAACGATTGGTATGGGTATGGGAGAGACTTGAATGGAACATGGAATGGAATTCAGTCGCGTTCAGCGATGAGTCCAGGTTCAGTTTGGGGACACGTGATGGCCGTGCAAGAGTAAGGAAGAGACGTGCTGAAAGACGGAACGTCGAATATTCCATCGAACGGCATATTTATCGCCCTATGGGTGTTATGGTATGGGGTGCCATTGCTTACGGCAGCAGGTCACGATTGGTGTTCATTCGAGGTAACATGACTGCCTAGCGCTATATCCACGAAGTTTTGCAACCGCACCTGCTTCCCTTTTTGGAAACATTGCAAAATCCTCTTTTTCATGAGGACAATGCATGACCTCATGTCGCACGTGTTAGTTAAGACTTTTTAGAAGGAGAAGATCTGCTTGAGTGGCCTCCTCGATTTGTATTGGACATGATGGGAAGAAGGTTGCAAAATTCACCGCACCCTCCACAAAGATTGGAGGCTCTAGGAAACCAAATTCAGATGGCCTGGGATAAAATACACCAAGAAGACATCAATCACCTAATCCAATGAATGGCGCGATGACTTAACGAATGTCTAGCGAACAGATGAGCTTCAACACATTATTAGCATTGAGGTGCGGAATATCTCAGCTGTTTTGCGAAATTTCGAGTCAAAATTTTAATCACCTTATTAGTAGACCTAAAACTTGTAAAGGTATGCTCAAAATTACAGCACTCCTAGTCGGTGTTTCATTTTCTGTGTCATTTAGTATATTTCGAATGTCAGTTGTTTCAGGTGAGGAACGATTTTTATTCTTGATACTGTTAATTACGACCATCGCAAATTTCATGTTGATGATTTTTCTGATCTTGTAACCCTTGGCAATAGACTATTTCACGGCAGTGGATCTCTACCAAGATCTTAGTTTAGAAAGAATGGAAGACTATCACCTTCATCACTAATCACCATGCAAAAAAAGTAATACAACTACGTTCACTTTTTACTGAGTATTCTACTCCCTCATTTTCAAGAATTGTTCTCTTGGAACAAAGAGGATCGTGGGTTCCGAACCTGTTGATTGAGGTTTTTCTATATCGCATATTAGATGTTCATCTGAAGAAATTGAAATTATTCTAGACTAGAGACCGTGATGAAAGCGTGAGAGCCAACATGAAGCAATACAACATGGAACATCGATATATGGACGTGCTTGTAAACGATTTCGCGACGCCGTTTTGGCGCGAAGATTTCCGATTTGACGCTGTGATCACAGACCCGCCTTATGGCATCAGGGAGGCTACAGAAAGAGTGGGTACTAAAAAAGAAGGATATGAAGTAAAGGCGGAGCATCTACCTACTCATATTCCCGCCAAAATCGAGTATGGCATCAGCAACATCTACAAGGACTTACTGAGGTTTTCTGCAAGACACTTGAGAGTAGGAGGGAGACTTGTATGCTGGTTCCCTGTGTTCAGGTGAGTAATAAAATACTTCTCTTTATTCTCAGTGATCGATCATCGACGTAAACCGACTATCACTTACTTAAACAACACAACCAAAAAGGGCGTCAACAGGAAATATACATGTTTTTTATATCTTCTGTCGACTATTTACGTTAATATAATACCGTAGATAGTTATTTCACTCATAGAAATGTCTGTATTTTTTTATTTAATATATAAAAGTGCAATGCCAATTGTTTTAATTGAAACGCCGCATTTTTCGCGCGCTTCACGGTGACGACACAACTCGTCATTTTATTCCAGGTTTGGTTAATTTGCTGTCATGATTTACTCCAAGTTTTGAAAGTGAACAAGCAGTCCTGTGTTATTTTTCTGACGGCGAAATTCTCGTGTCTCGTGGCAGCATATCTGCTGTCAAAGGTGTTGATATCTATGCTGAAAAAGGAGCGTAACCCATTGAAGTTATATAACTCAGTGGCAAATTCCGCGTCATCCAGTACTCTTTGGAACTGATCAAACTGAGCCGCTTTCCAGTGCTTTTGAATTGAGAGTTGTATGCACCCGGAGTGCGATGCTCCCGAACTGCTCTAGCAAATGTGCACGGGAACGCGACAATAAAAACGTAGCGTGTTTTTTTTTATGTTTTGCTTTTACGTTGACAATTTGTATCACACAAACAATGAAAATGTAAACACATTTTGCCTTTATTTTCAGAGGCACTGTCAGACTATCCAATTGATGCCTGATGATGCTTTTAGAATGATGGCGCAATACGTCAGAGGTCTGCATTTTTATTGTAAAGCTTCTGGATAAATGTGTAGAATTCATATTTTAGTGTAGACCCAACTAAAAGATGCTATGAACGAACCTGCATTCTTGCACTCTCTTGGTGATCTTTATTGTTTAGGAACATCTCAATATATACGTTGTGACTCTGGGTCATAACATTGTCAGTTTTTTACCATGCTCCATTGTCTGGTATCGATTTAATGCGAGTTTAATGCAAAAAAACAAAAACGATGAAAAAATATAACCTAACAATCTTGACACATTGTCATTTGTCATTGTTATCCCCACTATTTCGGAGCGTAGAACACCGAATAAAAAGCTGGTGCATGAGGGGGCAGGGGATTTCAAAAATGAGTAGCTCGGGTACATGACACTCTAGAGCACTGGAAAGGTATTGGCAGGTGGTGGGGAGCTCCGCGTTACTTTGAGTAACACAAGTGAGGCACCGGACAGCGGCTCTGGTATTACAATCATGAAGACTAGATATAGAAGCTAAACTCACGGAGATGGAGTGAAGCCAACAATGTCAACTATATAGTGAGTTGGTACACTATGCATCAAATGAATTTCAGGTGGTACGCATAGGGTATCGCTCTCGAGTGTACACTGTAGAGAAAATGAATTTCACCTTCTGCGCTTGTGGCATGTCTCTCTGTTGCTGTCATAATGACTGTAAACAACTCCAATTTTGACAGTTCGGACGAGTTGCATGCAGAAATATTGGATAATATTAATAAACCACAAAGTAATAAAGCAACAAAGCATGGCAAAACGTGGGTGAAATGCAGGTAAAGATTGCAGCAAGTTTTGTTGACATTTTTCAATGTGCAAATGCTCTACATCTACGCCCACTAAATTTCCGAGAGTCACGCCATCCTAGGCGACAGGACTTGCTCCATATGAATACGTGTATCCCCTACGCAGTTTAACCTCTTGTCTTTAGTCTTCGTGGTTGCAATCAATGACAGCGTCAAACGATTGGCAGCTCAATTGCAAATATCGCGACGTCACGCCAATAGCGTTGCGTTTCGATGTATTAAATTTTCCGCTCATTTTTTATATATTTATACATATATAGTTGCTATAAGTACTGTTATTCAACATATATTTCATCCGGTTATCCGATCGATCTGCTTTTTGGCATTGCTCTCTCGTTCTATCCCCCATGTTCAAGAATTGGCTTCCAGGCTGGAAAATTATTTAGTACGGAAACATGACCCGTATGTTTCTTGGCACTGATGTGAGATACATTTTACTGTTCCAGGGAAGATTATACAGAGAATGTCCTTCCACATCATCCCTGCTTAGAGTTAGTGTCGAATAGCGAACAGACTTTGAGTAAAGTGACATCACGACGGCTTCTAACATTTGAGAAAACTAGAGAACCAACAGAAGATGAACTGGATGAATACCCAGTTGATATCATGGACTTTCGAGAAAAGTACTTTGTTATCAGAGAAGAAACTAGAAAAGAGAGAAGAATGAAAGAAGCTAAGATTAGGGAAGATGATAGGTTAAGGAATTTGAATAAACAGAGTTGATAAAGATGTTTGCTTTATTCTTCATGTATAACCTTACCCGCCTTTTGAATAATTGTGCATGTGCAATATTCTCTTGACAATTACTTTTTTCATTTTCATCTTCGGTTATGCAAATTTGACAATTGACGAGGACCGACCGAGTGCGGCATCATCGCCGTTCTAGAGCATATTGAATACTGATTGAAATTAGTGAGACGAATTTTCTTGATGTATAGTATCCAAAATCTTGTTTGGAATTCGGAAAAGGTCTTGGTGCACTTTATTCTGCGTATGACCGGGAAGTAAAATTCAATTTTCATCTTACTGGGCGACTAGAAGCAGTAACAAAAATATATGAGTATAGAAGATTAAGTTACAATATGATAACCTTGATTGATTTACAGCAACAATTATAGCATTTGTAAGTGGGTCAGTTATTATGATTTGACCATTGAAGTTAATCAACTCTATGTCTGCATTAAACTATGTAATGACATGTCACCATTTGAAGGATCAATAAATATAAAATGTGTGTTCAGATGATCAAATAGAAAACACTGAAAAAGGAATTGTTTTAATATGTATGCACTTTAAAAATTAATGTTCGAAGTCTTTAACCGATTAAGGTTCTTCATAGTACGGAATTTCATTTCTGACTGACGTATCCTCTTCATTGGTATAAATCTGGCCTTTGGCTTTTACTTTCATAACACTCTTCTTTAAGGAATAATTGCCCAACCAGTGCTCCCAAATGATGCCTCTGAAATACCCATTATCATTCGGCTTTCGATGGTAGACACCATTCAGATTTGATTCAAAACATCTGCAAAAAGTCAAGTGCAAAAAATAGGTACTATATTGCCGAAAATGGAGTATAAGTTTCAAAAACGTTTATACATATATGTATCTGTGGCATGAGGTGCGCGTTTATGGTCCACGGCCTGAAATAAGTACCCAAGGTGCGAAGTGCTGTGGCTTTAAGACTTCAAGGGAGGTGAATATATTCATTATAACTGAGATATATACGACATCATATACAGGGTGTCCAGTGGGAAAGTTCACATTTCAAATTTGAATTACGCGGCAACCGTATACGCGAAGAAGTGGGAAGAGGTCGTGATCGACGCGTTCGGCGTGCGGGTTAAATAGTCACGATGGAACATTGGACCGGAGCGCAACGTGCGTTTGCTATCGAGGCTTACTTTAAGAATGGTGATCCATACGCAGCTGCACTTCGGAAATTTTGTACGCGATACAACATTCGCCGACCAACAGATGCCCCAAGTAAGAAGCTATTGAAAAAGTGGATTAAGAGGTTCCGTGAAACAGGCTCTTCTCTTAGGGCCGTATCGTCAGTCGTTTCTCAATTGTAGGACGTCTTTGAGGTCTTCTTGATTTTCATAGTATTTCCTTCAGAAAGGCTGGGATATTTCTAGATTTCTACTGTTCCGAGTCAGCGTCAGCGCTCACCTATTGTTTTATGTTTTATTCTTCAATTGTAGGAAGTTTTAGGCTATATAACATGATATAAATAAAAAGTACGAACAATTCGTTGCAAATAAATATAAAAACTACGAAAATCAAGGAGGCCTTAAAGGCGTCCTACAATTGTAGGAACGACTGACGATACGGCCCTAAGTCAACCCATTCCTGGCTCCACACCTACCGTATCAACCGAAGAAAATGTGCGTCGAGTAAGTGATTTGGTCATTGCAAATCCTCGGCGTTCTGAACGGAAGCATTCCGATGCTTTGGGAATCCCTAGGTCGACACTGCTTGACATAATGAAGAAAAAAAATGGGTTTTCATCCTGATAAAATGCAGTCAGTCTATGCTTTACGGGAAAGTGATTACGTATTACGGAAATCTTGTGCTGAACGGATGTTGAATCTTTTTCCTACGCAGCGCACAGTCGAGAACGTTGTTTTCAGTGATGAGGTCCATTTTCACTTAGACGGTTATGTGAACAAGCGAAATTGCAGATATTGGGCACCAACGAACCCAAAAAAGAAACATCAACAACAACTATAGTCCCAAGGTTACCATATCCTCTAGCGGTATTATTGGGCCGTATTTCTTTGAAGATGAAAACGGTCATGCATTGACAGTTAATTCCAAGCGATACAAGGACATGATGATACTTTTTTTGCTCCTATTGTAAGAACAGAACGTCGATTCAACAGAAACGCATGGCTTCAACAGGATGAGGCCACTGTCCATACTTCCAGAGTATCGGTGGACACGGTGAAAGCACTTTTTCCTCAAAAAGTTATATCGAAGTTTGGAGACATTCACTGGCCTCCTAGGTCACCCGACCTCACGCCATGCGATTATTTTTTGTGGCGTTATCTAAAGTCAAAAGTGTATTTCAATAATCCACGAACACTGGAGGAGCTTAAAGACAACATACGATGAGAAATAAGCAACATCACTCCGAAACTCTACAGGAGAGTGTTTCAGAATTTGCGCGCGCGATTAGAAAAGTGTGTCCGAAGGACTTGTAAACATTTGGACGAAATGATAGTTAAGAAATAAAACCCGCCGAATTTATGAATATGTTGATAGTAATGAATATTTTCTTTTCATGAAGTTTGTATTTTTTTTTACTTAAATCAAAAAGTGAACTTTCCCACTGGACTCCCAGTAGTTCTCGTGGTCGATAAGCCTAGGTCTATTAAACAATAACGGGCGCTACAGAAACCTACAACCTATTCCCGGTCGTAGATAATTTGAATGCACGAAATAAGCCACCCTTCAAGAAAGATCCTCTTCGACTAAAAACGTTGCCATTCGAAAAGTAAACGGAACGAGGTTTTGGTATCACTTATTTTTTGTTCGTTTCTGACGCTATGGGCACAGGGCACCGTTCCTTAAATTTTTTCAAAAAATCGAAAAATATCTCGGTTTTCACATCTGTTCTGCTGAAATTCAAAATTTGACAAAATTGATTCTTGTTCTTTTTACCTGTTGAACCACCAGCCACCCCCATAAGAAACGGCACAAGGACAGCACTCTGGTGCCTGATCATTTCTCCTGTCATAAGTGCTGAATGCAGTACCGTTGTGGCTCAGGAATGAGTCTGAGGAATTTCCTGTATATCCACCAATCACAAGGGTGTAGTTCTGAGTCCCATCAAGAACTTGGAATTTGTCATATTCTGCCCAGACATGGTTATTCTCAAAGTCTTCTAGCTCTACGCGTAATATCAGGTCGTATTTGGCGGATATGCGGTGAAGGAAGTCATTTCCCATCCAAAAATCTGCTGAAAGATCTCCGAAACCTTGCTCATAATCCTCCCAAGTAGCATTAAAATTATGCTGGGTACTATAATCATCCCTTCTTTGTATTACAGTCCATAATCCGTCATTTTGAATGTCACAGTATCTGTAATATTTTATACTGATTGCTACCCATAGATGAGCAAATAATCTATTCAGAGCAGATCTGCAGATATACTTCGACAGATCTGGATCTCGGACATGTGTTTCATTATGCAAAAATGCCTATATTCGTTCCGACATATTTGCATTCCAACTCTCTAGCGAACATTAAAAAAATTCCCTCAAAAGAAGCAAGTCATTTAGGGGGATCTACATAGTAGCTGGGGGTCTGCATCTGAGAAGGCAGAGCTAAATGCGGAGTCCTACTTCGCCGTTAGGAAGAACTGAAAACCCGCAGATTACACATTTTTATTTTAAAATTCCATTTGATTTCACTTCTTGGGCCCATAACGTAAAGACTTTATTTGTCTGTACCTCAAGCGTATTGGCGCCGTGACCTTCATTTAATGTCCAGGACATATTCAGTGGAATAAAAAGCGCTTAATGCACTCGTAGCCATTTGAATGTGCGATAGTGTTGGAATGCAAATATCGCGAAAGGTATTTAATTGAAATATTTAAAAAACAAAACTCTACCATAATTTTCTACCAAAATAATAAAAAAGGGACCTAGCTAATAGTTCTAACATGAAATAGCAAGACTATAAGCTATAACTGACGCCACCTACATACTATGTTGAAGACAACCTTTTTGCCAATTTTCATGTCGATACCACAAAAACAGCTTAAGCTATAGAGAAATAAAAAGCCGACACATATCACATTTTAATGAGCGACATTTCACTAGGACATATTTAGCTTATCCCATTTTTTCTAGGATTGCTTTTTGCATGCACCCTAAATAAGCTTTAACTTAAAACATTTTACGTACCTCTTTTTATAAGACACGTTCCCATCTCCCAAACCATCTTTTTCAAAAATATAAACGCCACTTGGATCGTCATACGACAAATCTTCACAAGAAGACTTGTTTCTATCTAACACAGGTCTCCATGTTGGTTGAAAATCTACTGTGGTTGGTCTGGATGAAGATGGAACCTCTGGTAGAGGTGCACTTGTAGAAATATGTTGAACATGAGTTTTTGTCGTAGGTAAGAAATTATAGCGAAAGCATTGCTTCATATTTGTATCAACAATAGTCTCCAAGTAAGCCCTCTGCTCACTAAAATGAGCTTTCAATACATCGTTGAGGTCTTTCCCCAATGTTCGGGTCTCGTCACTCAATAATTGTTTCAACGAAAACATGTTTTGTCTATTATACATCAGTTTTGTTATGTTTTCGGTATTCAAGGCACTTCTGAGTAGTTCTTCAATAATTAGACTCGATTTGCCACAGTCGTGCATTTTATTTGGGATGCTCTCAATATCTGCAGTTCTGTTTAGTAGTACTTCCATTGCTTGGTCAATCTTTTGGTATCTTTGGATATTTAATGTGAGATGCTCTGAAATCGTTGTTTATTGATGTAAAAGTATACATTCTAACATAGTGAAAGTAAAAACACTTAAAGAGTATAGTAATATAATTTTAATTACCCTTTTCTAAAGCCCCATATATTCCTTGAATCGTTGGTTCACCTTCCTCACCATTTGTCGTTCTAGTCCGTATATTTTTCACAAATTCTAGAGTTTGCTTGGAATAAGTTTCAATACTTTTAGTTTTATTAAGAACCTCCTTTAATAGTTTGTG